TATATACATATATATATATATCTGTACAGATCAGGTATTTTGTTATGTAAGGTTGCTGTATTAACGTGTGAAAATACCGAGGAACAAAGAAACAAGCAAACACTGGCGTCTGTGATGTTTCGGTTATGCGTTTCGCCGTCGCAGACAGTAGTCATGAGTTCGATTCTCGTGTAGGGCAGTATCTCCGTCCGTCTGCTGGAACGTTTTATCGCTCTCAGCTCGGGTTAGCCCTCACAGGGAGGGTTGAAGATGTGTGACCTCTGACTGATCTAAATTGTGTCGATGTGGGCGTAAAACACCTACAATTGTCCTTATGCCCCCCCCCCCTTCCTGCTCTTCCTCACAAGAGTGTCTGTTCCTTTCCCTCCTGCTCTTCCTCCTACTCCTCCTCTTCCTGCTTTTCCTCCCCCCTCCCCCGTTCTCTTGTTCTTCGTGTTCCTCCTCCTGCTCTTTCTTTTGTTCCTCCTCCTCCTGCTCTTCCTCCTGCTCCATTACAATCAAAACCAACAAACACAAACGATGTGAGGATTTACGTGAATACAGCAGAAGTCTTGTATATTGTATTAACAAAATGAGCTCACCTCCACCGTCACGTCGTCGGGCCGAAAACCAGAGGAGAGACTAACGCTGAGAACAAAGAGGAAAGACAGGATTACACCTAAGTATAATGTCCAGGAGAGCAGCAATCACAGAGGGTAGCAAATCGTATGAGGTTTCTCAAATTAGAAATGCTACTAAAAAACGGGCTACGGAATCAAAAACAAAAAATTTGACTTCAAACCAGAGAGGGAACAAGAGACACCCAGCGACGACAGTTGTGCCTTCATTAACTAAATCGGGGATGTCGAAAGCAATGTTTTCAATCGTAAAAATAAAAGCAACAGAAAATGTTGGTATAAGTATAAGCCATAAAGGAACATGTAGACTGTTCAAAACTTCCAAACTCACTTTACATGCAAATTGCTTTTCCTGAAATTCTCAATTCTTTCATTTGCTTCCCGCTCCCAGTTCGGGTTAGAGGGCAGTTCAGTGAGAGAGGCGTCGTCAAAGTAGTAATCAGTTCCTGGAAGAAGACCTTCCAAGTACAGAGATGCTTGAGTCCATTCTGTACAGAGATTGTTAGAGCACTTTTGAGATCTGTTCGTAAATCATGGACACGTAGTAAGTTCTCGTATGACCAAACCACTATCTAAAGGTAAAATAAAGCTTCTAAATATATTTCCATATTACGGTTAAGGGGCTGTTAAACTAAAATTGAAGCAACATTAAGAAAGACCAATCAGAAAAAAAATCATTCACAAAACACGACACATAGAAACCCCACTATTAATCCCTGGCGACCACCTACGCCCCTTTTACTTCTTTTAAGAGCAACAAACGACAGTCGTTTGAAGGGAAACTGATATCCAAACTTAAGGTACCAGCATGAAACATCCGTTTTGTGTGTGTATGGGTTTTGTGTGTGTTTGAGTGTCTGTGTTCGTGTATGTATTTCTTTTTGTTTGTGCGTGTATGATATGTGAGTGTGTGTTTGTGTAGGTGTATGTATGTCTTTGTGTTCGTGTGTGTGTGTGTTTGTGTTTGATATGTGTGCTGCAAAGGGGGGGGGGGCGGAGGGGGAGGTTGTCTTCATACCAAAGTTGGGAGGTATGAAGTCACCACCCAGCATGGTCCACCCGTCAGCTGTGGTCAGGTAAGGTCGGGAGCAAACAGGGAAGTAATTCTTGGAACCTGGAAGAGAGTAATATCAGGAAGCATGATTTCTGCCTGATAATAATGAGTTTAGATAGGATTTCAATACATAGAACTTAAAATTTGGTCTGTACACAAAACGTGCAATTCAAAAGATGACTAGGAACAATGTCCAAACAAAGATTGCATACTACCACAATGCTCTATGTGGGAAGACTTTATGCCGAATGCTTGCATTGCTTTGAGCTAATTGATCGTTCTGCACACTGAAGAATATACAGTGGTAGCACTTTCTCAGAGCAAAAAAGAATAGACCTATACTTACATATTTGGATACATTTCAATTAATTATTGTGAAGTCTCATTTTCGGTGAAAGGTCAGAATTTTTGAAAAACATATTCAAACAGGTGACAGGAAACACACACCGTCTTTCAAAGTAAAGCTGATTTTCATGACGGCTTTCTGGAACATTCTCCCAGGAAGGTCATTGATGAGCCTTATGTAAGACTTGAACACGTAATGTTTGCCTCGGGAGATCTGAATGTCCTGTGCAGGACCCATCCAAGATTGAGTCCTGTGAACGAATGTAAATGGGAAGAGGGAGAAAGGGTGGGAAAATAGTACAGTACAGAATCAGAGAGTTCGGAATATATATATATGGAAGTTAAATGAATTCATCCAAGATGTCAATCAAGGTAGCATAACCAAGTAGTTAAACATTATAACATTATCGCTCTTTTACACTCTATAGCAAATGGATCTAAACCAAAATCATATATGAAAGAATAACAGAAAAAACAAGCAACAGTTGATATTAAAGACTGACCTGCCGGTACACTTGACGGCTACACGCCCTTCATGCACTTGATCCGTTGTGGTGACCATGCTAAACCCGTTATGGGACCAGGACGTAACTCCATTCTCGAACCCGGGGTTCTTCAGCAGTTCCACAGCCGCTCTCGTTACTACGCCATTAGAAATAACCAGAACAAAAATGGCAACAAAGACTGGTACGTTCAAGATTCGAATGTTCCTGTACAATAGTCCCTCTTTCGTTGTTCCCATGTTGTGAAGAAGAGGCGACCAGACTGTGCTGCGTTGGTGCCCCAAAGACGAATGTGTTTGGTGTGTGGAGTTCATTACATATACCTTTCCTTATATTTATCTAATCGCAGCAACAAAACAGTACCTTCGAGATTTCTACATTGCTTTGCAAACACACCATTGAAAAAAGCCGCTAAAGAAAAACAGGAACAAAACGAACAAATGCTCTCACATAGGGCGTGGTACAATAGAAAAAGCGAAAGTTTGAAAGTGTAACACGACTGGAGCTACAGACATGTGTGACTTGCTGAAGATTACAAGACGAACATGTTCCACAGCAAGCCGGTATGTGCATATTGATATCGGTAGAATGTCCTCAATGTCAAAAGGCTGGGGTCAATCCATTAAAAAATACAGCACATTCATCGTTGTTTGTTCACTTTCATGTGTCCACGTTTGCACCCTATTTCTTAGTTATCTCTTAACTAAATGCTCTAGCAACTTGCACATATGTTTGAAATGCTATTGACCTTGAGGAATAATGTTTGTCCTTCGAAAGTCGAACTTGTTACTGATTTCGTCTCTTCGTTAATTTTTTTTTAAGACCTTGCTTGAATGTACATAATTTAGAATGGTTTACACTACCGAGGTCACTGCGTTTCAACAACAACGACACTTTCACACTAGCGTTCACAATAATTTTCACCGCGCTGCATGTATTATCAGTATTTTCGAACCAACAAAAAAGTATGTGTTTTATAAGTTTCGATGGCTCTATGCCTACATTACTGTCAAATCAAATATTCGGGTTAGGAATCTTACGATTATTCCTAAAATTTCAAAAGAATTCACCGCTGTGTAAAAACCATTTAAAATGCAGATAAGACGACATGAAAATTTAAAGGTCGGTCAAAATATAAGACTATACAATGTACAAAAATGCAGGGCAATAATAATGATAAATCATATATCATTGTGTTAAGGGAAAGTTCACGCTCAACAGCAAGCTCTATGCGCTTTGTAATCTGTAACCGTATATTTATCATCTCTTTTCCAACACCGCACGCCGAAGCACACTGCCCATCCATATATTTCCACTTAATTTAAGTGTAAAATCTACAATCCCAAAGAGAACGAGCAAGGAAAGTTTTATTACTTACAAAAGTACTTGTTTAGTTTTACAAATGTGTCGTAAGTGTCCTGTAGATGTTCACACTGCGTTGCGGGGAAAGGACACTGAAAAGGGTGGTTTCTGTGTGTCCACAATCATATCCAAATATATGTAACCGAACTTCTCTCTCTTTCTCTCTCTCCCTCTCTCTCTCTCTCTCTCTCTCTCTCTCTCTCTCTCTCTCTCTCTCTCTCTATCTATCTATCTATCTATCTATATATCTATATATCTATATATCTATATATCTATCTATCTTTCGCAGTCTCTCAGTCTCTCTCTCTCTCTCGTTCTCTCTCACGTTCTGTGTGTGTGCGTGTGAGCAAAATCTGCGCGCATGTTTATGTTGTGTAAGTGTTCATGCAAGTGCATTGTTGTGTGAGTGGTCTTATGAGTGTATCATTGCATGTATGTGAGTGTTATAAGTTATCATGTATGCTTTTTGAGGTGAATGTTCTTGGGTACACGCTTATTGTATGTGTGTATGTATGTATGGCAGTGTGCTCGTGAGTATGTGTGTGTGTTGTGTGTGTATGTGTGTGTGTGTGTGTGTGTGTGTGTGTGTGTGTGTGTGTGTGTGTGTGTATGTGAGTACCGCAAAAAGTGTACAACTTTTATCTTACATTCAAACCCACATAAATCAAACATCAAAATATAAGGTGACAGTCCTAGCATTCCTGTTTAGAGTCATGTTTCCTATAACTGCATCGCGTGTCCTTTTTATTCACATTCTATTTGCGGCATAAGACAAAGTATGTAAGAAGTTACAACTTCAAAGAAAAGCAAAATTATCGTCCTTGAGAAAGGTAACATTCAAATGTATGCACTTTTTTTGGTGCCTTTTAACAAAAAGGGGGCGGGTGGGGGGTCAACAAGATCTGACAGTTGAAGTGGTCCATCCTATACCTGGTGGTGCCTCTATCTCGCCTTAGAAAAATCATAAAGGAAAACGAAAGCAAAAACGAGACCCAAAATAAATACCCACAGTTCCTTCAGAGAGATAAAGACCTCCAATAGAAAAAGACAAAGACAAACTCGTTCGTACCTAGAATAGAGTTTAAAGTAGAAAGCAGGGGCTTTCTACATAATCAATAATAATCACTGCTTCCCTTCCTTAATTTGTGAACATCGTCGCAGTCAAATTTACCCGTAGATCGTGACAGAAATCGACCTCCTAAATTTAGATAGCAATAGACCTTCCGGAAATCACCAGTGGGCAGTGCGCACAACATTCGAAACTGTTTCATTTCCGCACAAATACCTTGTTCACCCCTTTCAAAGCACTCTCATTAGCAGTCACAAGCACTGATTATGTAAGCTAACAATTAAACTCGTAGATTCTATCTCAAAAAGGAGATAAGGTGGGGGAGGGGGGTGGACTAACTGCTGATAATCTGTAAGTCCTTGGTTTTTTCCCTCAACTTTTTACTACCATATAATCAGGTCATGGCATGATTATATCGACGCCTAGCCGAGAGAAGCTAGAAAAAAACAGCCAGATTTGAAAACAAATAAATAATACATTTCTAGCATTGTCACCTATGCTTCTTTGACTTCTGTTTGTGTATTTACGTTTTAATTTTAAGTTGCATTTACAATTTTTTTTAAACTTTAGATTATTATTCCCACTGCACGTTTAAAATGTATGATTATGGTTTGCTCAAAGTGGGAATAAAAATTAATTTATGAGATATTTTCTCGATTTTTGGGCGGCTCCACAAACAACCTTAATTCAAGATGTGTTATCATTCACAATTCAGCGATGCCACCTCTAAAAAGAAGTTTTGTTTATTATATTCCCATTGTGGAAAAACTTTTCATGTGGGGCCTAATCTGCATCTTAATCTAGCTTTGATTACCCAGTGAAATAATTCAGCCTTCGCCCCTGGAAGAAAGTACTACTTTTTTAAAAGGCAGGCGCTATTTGAAACGCCGCGTTCTGAATAGCTCTCATGCTATTTGAAACGCCAGTACTAGATCTAGATCTAGTAGCCATAGTTTCTACATTATAATAATATTGTAGTTCTGCCTGAATTGTGGAAGCTTTCTCAGTTTCTTGATAAACCTCCGAGGATTTGACACCTTTTTTTTGAAGTTGTCTTATTCCGATCTATATTGGGTAGATCTAGATCTAGATTAGATCTAACAATTGTTTCTGACATTGTTTCCACAAAAGCAGACTGGACATAGTAGTCTAGTCTCTTAATCATTTGAGTTTGAGTTTGAGCAAGTAGGTCGAAGACGCTTGGATAACAATAACAAGACGGTGCTACTCGGTATAAGCAGTATTTTCTGTCCACAGTGTCGTGGTACAATAGATCGAGGCTACCTAAAAATGTTATCTTTAAGTTAGCCCTAGAGAACGTCACAAGCTGTCTACGTTCTCTAAGTCTAATGTTCAGTGCTTCCAAGCGTGGCATCGAATCCCGGTCCCGGACGGGGTTGTTTTTTTCTTTAAAAAAATAAAATTAGACTCACGGACCAAGAAAGACACTATTGAACTTTAACCAGACCTAAAATCCCTAAATTGGTAAAAGGAAAAGTAGGCTACACCAAGGTCTACTTTGTACAGAGAGGTCCTCTCGGGTACAAAACCAGAATGTGCATACTTCATGACTACATTAGAAAACTACAAAGCAACAAGTTATAATTATGGGAAAATTTGTTGGTCAGTCGAGAAGAGGACAAAAAAAACAACTTCCAGGACCGGGGTTCGAACCCACGTTCATAAAATAAAGGTTTGGCTTCAAGCGCAAACGCGCTGTCCATTCGGCCATCAGAACTTCCGACAAGGAAGCTTAGATTCAGCTTTATAATTTTACACAGGTCGACACGGCGTTTTAATTAGCACTTGCGCTAATCGCAACGCGGCGTTGCAAATATGCACTTCCTTTTTTTAAACAAACGGTCTGAAACCTACATTTGTGTTCTGAACAATCATTCATTGCTTCGAGTTTGTTTTTGTGTTCCATCTGGGGACGAGAGCGTGCAGTTGACAGTCGGTTATTAACGCTTAAACTAAGAGGGGGGCTCTCGTGGCCTAGAGGTTAAGGTGTTGGCCTCTCATTCAAAGGTCCCGGGTTCGATTCCGGGTAGCGACCAAAAAATTTTATTCTCTAAAATTGTCTCCTTTCACATCCTTTCCTGATCTCTAACAATGTTCTGTTGTCTGTTTTCATTTCCACTTTCTGCCCCCACCCCCTCACCCCCTTTGCCCCCTCCTCTGGGCTCCTGACTCTTTCTGCAGCCTTTCTACTGCTACTCCCTGGCTCCTCCTAACTGCTGTCTTTCTGCCACACCCCTGATCTTCTGGTAGGAAAGATCTACACCTAGCCTTCTCGGACAAGGGCGAAAAATCTCGGAGGGCCCGTGTGCAAGTTGCGCACGTTAAAGATCCCTTGGTGGTCTAAAATCGATAAGAGTAGGCTTCGGCCGCCACCCGGGCAAAATTCAAAATTTCCTACCAACGAAAAAGTATTAGGTGTGTCCCGCGCGCTCATATGACCTTATGCAGTTGTGAGCGCCGTAAAACCCTATACTAAACAAACAAACAAACAAACAAACTAAGAGAGGAGAATCATTGAAGTGTTCTTTGTTTGTTTGTTGCTTTTTGTTTTGTTTTGTTTAGGTTGGTTGGTTTGGATTTTGTTTGTTTGTTAACTGCTTTTTTTGAAAATTGATATCAGAATCGTAGTTGGCCTGGACTGTAGGTTGTGTCAGAACAAAGAGAACAAAGAAAAAGGCAGAATAGACAAATAACTAAATAGTTTGTCTACGTGTAGGAAATTACGAAACATAATCATTCAATGCAGAATTCAGCAACAGGTTGGCTGTCTACGTGATTTTAATGAATGCTAATATTGGTGGACCCTTCTAATCTGTCTGAAAAGCGCGTTCATTTTTTCACATTATTCTCAGAATGTACTAAAGACTGACAGAGTTTCTCTGGGATCGGACTGTGTGGTAAAACCTCTTGAGCTTTCTGTTTGCGATCTTGATGAATCTTAGGTCTTAATATGCATAAAACTTATATGCCTGATGGATTGGGGGGGGGGGGGGGGGTGGGGGCGAAAAAAGTGCTCATAAATCTCCCTCAGTTTACCGGTTACTCATTTTTTGTGAGGACGTACAAAATAATAGAAATCGGTTTCAAAACCTAAACTTTCATGTTTTGGTCAGACTCGTAGCCACCTAATCACAGCGACTGAAAATTTGGAGACTTTCTAGGTAAACAAATTGTCCTCTTTTTTTCTTTACAAGACCTTGCTTTTATTTCAATTTGGACTAGCGATTTTGGATTGCCTTAAAAGACGTTTTCAAACTCGGTGGCAATATATTTTTGTTGTGCTCAGTAACATCACAACCCATTGCAATGCGCAAAGGTACACAGCGAGTTTTAGCCAGGTCACGAATATCAACATTTATTGATATCTTTAGTATAGTAAGTTGCTCTCTGGTACTAAATACACTAGAATGCATTATTACACTTCTTGCCAAATGTTCCACGGAGATCCTTTTAAGGGAGACGTCAGTAAAATGGTAATTGAGCTCTTGGATATTTTGATATACTTCCAGATTCACGGAATGAAGCTCTAAACTTATCAAGACTAACTTCTACAATCCTGAAATAACACACTTCTTTACTTTTAGTTCGCCTGAACTATTTTAATACACAAGAGTGGAAAAGAGAATGAAGTGGAAATAGAGGCAGATAATGAGAGCAAAAAAGCATTGTACATTCATTATTATTGGGTCACTTGTGAATGTGTTCACATATTTATATTTGTTTGAATTCGTTATGTGCTTGTTTTTCTATTTATTTATTTATCGTTTATATCCTCTATAGATGGATACAAACATTGACGCCGTTTTGCTTTGAAATAAAAAATAGATTAACTCTGTATTGCAAATACAAAATATACAGTGTAACAGACATTGCAACTAGTCGAAAATAGTGCCTCTGGGTACAAAATTCAATCATTTCAACTTTAAGACAATTACTCTGCATGAATATTTTATAATCTAAATCGAATGCATTATCTACAGGCCTAGAAACGAGCAAACAGAGGTATCTGTAAACAGTAACAGTAAGACATGAAAATAGGATTCCTAGCATTAGCGTTTCCAGCAGTCCTCAGTAACAGCCCAGAGCGGTACTTCTCAGTCTAGGTCCGACAGCAGGTGGCCTGCGCCTGGACCCCCGTCTCGGGTCCAAACTTCTCGGCTCCATTCACAGCAACACATGTATCTGTGCCCGCAGCGTTGGCTGTAGAGAGAGGGTGTGACTGTCAGCAAGGATTTATGTCAAGTATCGACGACTTGGTTTACTGGGACTGTAGCTTGCCTGTTTTGGTTTCCACTGTTTGGCGGTTGTTGTTGTTGTTGTTGTTGATTTTTTGCTGTTGTTTTTTTGGGGGGGCGGGGGGTTGGGGGGTTGTGAGGGGGTATTTAGGTTGTCGTTTTGTTTTTTGTTTTTGGAGGTTTTTTGAGGAACGGGCGTTGGCCACATTTAGTATCGATCATCTGCAAGGTGGAGCACTTGGTCTCTCAGGACACCGAGCAAACATGAAACATTTTAAGAAGGATGAGAACAAGGGTTTCGAATCCAATAGGTAGCGAACTTCAAACTTGTACGAAGTCGACCACGCTTGTTCATCACCGCGTCATGGCGGCCTGGGAGCAAGAGGCATCTTGGCAAACGCTATATCAGATAGTCTAACATTTATACAAGTGCCTGCGGTGTCACACCCTGAATAAACGCTATTCCTATTGTCCTCTCGGGAGTATACGTGTGACCATATGCGTGCGTGTGTGTATGTGTTGTGTGTTCATGAGCAATGCATGCATGTGTGTGTGTGCGTGTGTGTGTGTGTGTGTGTGTGCGTGATTGAGAATTTCCTACCAACGAAAAAGTATTAGGTGTGTCCCGCGCGCTCATATGACCTTATGCAGTTGTGAGCGCCGTAAAACCCTATACTAAACAAACAAACAAACAAACAAACTAAGAGAGGAGAATCATTGAAGTGTTCTTTGTTTGTTTGTTGCTTTTTGTTTTGTTTTGTTTAGGTTGGTTGGTTTGGATTTTGTTTGTTTGTTAACTGCTTTTTTTGAAAATTGATATCAGAATCGTAGTTGGCCTGGACTGTAGGTTGTGTCAGAACAAAGAGAACAAAGAAAAAGGCAGAATAGACAAATAACTAAATAGTTTGTCTACGTGTAGGAAATTACGAAACATAATCATTCAATGCAGAATTCAGCAACAGGTTGGCTGTCTACGTGATTTTAATGAATGCTAATATTGGTGGACCCTTCTAATCTGTCTGAAAAGCGCGTTCATTTTTTCACATTATTCTCAGAATGTACTAAAGACTGACAGAGTTTCTCTGGGATCGGACTGTGTGGTAAAACCTCTTGAGCTTTCTGTTTGCGATCTTGATGAATCTTAGGTCTTAATATGCATAAAACTTATATGCCTGATGGATTGGGGGGGGGGGGGGGGGTGGGGGCGAAAAAAGTGCTCATAAATCTCCCTCAGTTTACCGGTTACTCATTTTTTGTGAGGACGTACAAAATAATAGAAATCGGTTTCAAAACCTAAACTTTCATGTTTTGGTCAGACTCGTAGCCACCTAATCACAGCGACTGAAAATTTGGAGACTTTCTAGGTAAACAAATTGTCCTCTTTTTTTCTTTACAAGACCTTGCTTTTATTTCAATTTGGACTAGCGATTTTGGATTGCCTTAAAAGACGTTTTCAAACTCGGTGGCAATATATTTTTGTTGTGCTCAGTAACATCACAACCCATTGCAATGCGCAAAGGTACACAGCGAGTTTTAGCCAGGTCACGAATATCAACATTTATTGATATCTTTAGTATAGTAAGTTGCTCTCTGGTACTAAATACACTAGAATGCATTATTACACTTCTTGCCAAATGTTCCACGGAGATCCTTTTAAGGGAGACGTCAGTAAAATGGTAATTGAGCTCTTGGATATTTTGATATACTTCCAGATTCACGGAATGAAGCTCTAAACTTATCAAGACTAACTTCTACAATCCTGAAATAACACACTTCTTTACTTTTAGTTCGCCTGAACTATTTTAATACACAAGAGTGGAAAAGAGAATGAAGTGGAAATAGAGGCAGATAATGAGAGCAAAAAAGCATTGTACATTCATTATTATTGGGTCACTTGTGAATGTGTTCACATATTTATATTTGTTTGAATTCGTTATGTGCTTGTTTTTCTATTTATTTATTTATCGTTTATATCCTCTATAGATGGATACAAACATTGACGCCGTTTTGCTTTGAAATAAAAAATAGATTAACTCTGTATTGCAAATACAAAATATACAGTGTAACAGACATTGCAACTAGTCGAAAATAGTGCCTCTGGGTACAAAATTCAATCATTTCAACTTTAAGACAATTACTCTGCATGAATATTTTATAATCTAAATCGAATGCATTATCTACAGGCCTAGAAACGAGCAAACAGAGGTATCTGTAAACAGTAACAGTAAGACATGAAAATAGGATTCCTAGCATTAGCGTTTCCAGCAGTCCTCAGTAACAGCCCAGAGCGGTACTTCTCAGTCTAGGTCCGACAGCAGGTGGCCTGCGCCTGGACCCCCGTCTCGGGTCCAAACTTCTCGGCTCCATTCACAGCAACACATGTATCTGTGCCCGCAGCGTTGGCTGTAGAGAGAGGGTGTGACTGTCAGCAAGGATTTATGTCAAGTATCGACGACTTGGTTTACTGGGACTGTAGCTTGCCTGTTTTGGTTTCCACTGTTTGGCGGTTGTTGTTGTTGTTGTTGTTGATTTTTTGCTGTTGTTTTTTTGGGGGGGCGGGGGGTTGGGGGGTTGTGAGGGGGTATTTAGGTTGTCGTTTTGTTTTTTGTTTTTGGAGGTTTTTTGAGGAACGGGCGTTGGCCACATTTAGTATCGATCATCTGCAAGGTGGAGCACTTGGTCTCTCAGGACACCGAGCAAACATGAAACATTTTAAGAAGGATGAGAACAAGGGTTTCGAATCCAATAGGTAGCGAACTTCAAACTTGTACGAAGTCGACCACGCTTGTTCATCACCGCGTCATGGCGGCCTGGGAGCAAGAGGCATCTTGGCAAACGCTATATCAGATAGTCTAACATTTATACAAGTGCCTGCGGTGTCACACCCTGAATAAACGCTATTCCTATTGTCCTCTCGGGAGTATACGTGTGACCATATGCGTGCGTGTGTGTATGTGTTGTGTGTTCATGAGCAATGCATGCATGTGTGTGTGTGCGCGCGCGGTGTGTGTGTGTGTGTGTGTGTGTGTGTGTGTGTACAGATGCGATTGTAGGTGTGGGTGTGTGTGTGTGTGTGTGTGTGTGTGTGTGTGTGTGTGTGTGTGTGTGTGTGTGTGTGTGTGTGTGTGTGTAGTATTATTTGCACAGGTATTTGTGACAATAATACACATAGAAAGGGACAGAACTTACTGTTGATAAAGGCGCCTGCAGCTTTTGCATACTGCGAAAAGACGTTACATCCCGTCATGACGTAACCCTTAGGACACGTGACCCCAACCTGATCCGACTGTTTCTTGCCACTCGTCCCGGAAGTCACTGTGCGACATTGGAGGTTGGGACTCTGGCAGCACGCCGCGTAGGAATAAACACCTGGTGGGAATTTTTCCGGGGGTTGGGGGGGGGGGGTCCATGTACAATTAAAGAACAGAAAAGGCATTTGTCCGTTTGAAGTATCATAAGATATGAAAGGTAGTTCTGACAGATCATACATGAAGTTGTGTGAAGTCATGACAATTTGTTTGATTAGAACATTAGATTTTGATAGTCAAAGCGAAATTGATTAGCTTTAATATCTACTTTCCCCGGGACACTCAGTTGCAAATGGGTGCTTGGCTTTCAGCAGAGACGGAGTGTGTGAATGACAGAGATGTGCGCCTTACAGGTTGTAACACTGTATGTTCCCTATAGACCGGCGGTGAATTTAGAATGAAAGCAGAGAAAGTTATCGTGCAACTGTGCAAGACTTGAGAGGAATACATATGACTAGAAAAAGAAGTAAGAATGTCTGACTCACCGTTCCTTGGGTAGTCGTTCTGTCCCTTACATGAGGTGTTGGTGAATATAGAGCCATCAGAGTTGTGGGAGTAGGCGAGTGTGGAGCAGCCTGGGGGACACACAGACAAAACACGTTGTTGGTCATGCAACATCAAGGCAAACATAATATAGTTTGCCTTAGCCGGACGCCTCGTTAACTCAGTTGGTATCACGCTGGGCTACAAAGTGGGTGGCCCATGTTCGGATGCAAGACTTTGTGTTTTTGAATTCGAGTCCTTATGTAGAGTTTTCAAGGCTCGAAACAGAGACAGATAGATAGATAGCATTTGCGCTGCGCATTTCCATTTTCTAAAATGCTTAGTTCGAGCATAACGTTCATAGAAATGTTACATTTTAAAATTTACTGGACAGGTGTGTACGTAAGACATGTTGATCTATAAATGTAACCAAAATGTAGCCAAAACAAACATTCTGTGAGAAAATTAGATCAAGTTGACTCACCTAAAGCATATGCCTGCCCCTGACAAGGCACTTCCACCTTGTCGTCCATCCCAGTACCAGAGGGTCCTGCCGTGCGGTACTCACATCTCAGACCCCGCACACTGCAGCACCGAGCCACGGCCTCAACCCCTAGGGGAAAAACACCACATGGGAATGGTAGTGAGACGTGTGGATAAACGTCTTGCACTTCAAGAGACAACACACGTGGAAAAATATCTTCTGCCGTTACGTGTAGGGAATGAATATATCAGGAATAATGTTGACGTGATTGGTGATTCTAGAAGTGCGGATAAACATCTTGTATCTCAAGAGACAACATACGTGGATATAAAGATCTTGTACTTCTAGAGACAACAAAATAAGTGTATGGTAGTGACATGGGGAATAACACTAGAAGTATGGATAAACATACTGTGCCTCTAGAGACAACACAACACGACATGTATGATAGTGAAAAGAAGAACGACACTAAATGTGTAGATAAGTATCTTGATAGGTATGGTAGTGAGGCGTGTCAAAAAACTTCATGCACTTTTAGAGACAACGAAACACAGAATGACTGAAAAATTGAATAGAAATGGATAATTACTCCAGACGTGTGGATAAACATCTTGTACTTCGTGATACAACACAACAAAGGTTATGGATCTAGGTGAAGAATGAATTGCCACGTGTGGATAAACATCTTGCACGTGTACTCTTGTAGACTTAAAGACTTTTAGAGACAGCAAAATTTAGCGTGGATAAATCATAGACGTACAAAATAATTTATAAACCTAATTCAATATACGACGAGGCAAATAATTGCAAACTTATAATACGTTTAAGATTATAAAGGAAAATGTAGGGCTATAGCTTACATGTCCCTATTATTGTACAACTACCAGGTGACCAAAAAAAACGTTACCCACGGAGACACCCATGAAATAAAAACAGTCAAAATAAAGATAGAAAAAACAAGACTTCACAGACGTACTTGGTCACAATTCAGATTTATCGTGACAAATTTACAGATAAAAATTCCTAGTTTGAAGAGAGTTACAGCACATGCTCCATGTGACGTCCGTTTCAGGTGATACACGCTCTGGGGCGCCTGACGAAATCGTCTATGAAATTGTCACTCTGTCTGATGCATTGGCGTCGCTGAGCCTTTGAAGTACGTGCATCTTATACGGTTTGAACTTCAGATCGTACTTCAACAAGTGCCGAACAGATTCTCTAGCAATAGTCAATTCAATACAATGACCACGAACTGACATTTTAGCTTCTTCGCTCACAGACTCCATCATCAGTACGCCCTTGCATCGGTCTCCCTTTGTGGGTGACACTAGTTTTTTATCTCTTGCTTTTTTTTTTTTCAACAGAGCCATATAGCTTGATGTCAGCCTTTGGTGTTAATTTCAAACTGTTCACAGAAGAGATTCCGTATCTGCAAAGGGTACTTTATTTCGATATATGTTTTTCAACCATAAAAATACGTTGGTCAACAGTGAACTTTATCTTTGGAGTAACCATGGCTGCTTCCAAGGTACCGTTGTTTTTGTTACGTATTTCACCTTCTGGATGGTTCATCTTGCTTCCTGCCAATGTTTGTGTGAATTGTGCACTTTGGTGGAGAGTTATAGGCTTCCCCGCGGGTAAGGGTTTTTTGGGAGTCAGTAGGTATATTTCTTGTGAATGTTTACGGAACTTAGACAGTGACTAAATGCGAAAAACGATATTTTAAATGGAGGTGTTTTTACGCCCGCGTCCACACAGTTTAGATAATTCAGGAGATGTGCTTCGACTCGAGCTGAGAAGGATACAACAACACCAGGACAGAAAGACCAACATGCTTGATGAAAATCCTCTACACACGGGAATGGAACTAGGGTATTCCACGTGCGGCGGTGAAACACCTAACCGCTACATCGCAGACGCCGGTATGAATAACTACTCACCTGCAGACGATCCGTATCCGTTCATTGCTCGACACGCCTGCTTTCCACCGGACATTAGGATTTCTTCCCCATCACGGTAAAATTCGTTGTTCTAGAGACAAAGGTATATGGGTTTCAGGAGCAGTTATGTGTATATTGTCGAAAAACAAGCAAGACAACAATCATGTACTGCTGTGGCGGCCTATTATGTTGTTTGTTTGGTGTATTTTCCTTAATGGAAGATTTAACGAATAGGGGTAGGGGGTGTTATGGGAGAGCAAATCATTTCTAGGGCCCAAAAAGATCTATCCAATCAACGTTGCTGCTCAGAGATGCCTATCTATGATGTGCTATGGAAAGAGTTTGAGATAGCAGCTATTCAATTTATGGGGTCAACTAAACTTATCAAAGACATTTGACGGTGAAGGTATATATTTTTAATTTTTTATTAGATTAGTGGGTATCGATAAAATATATGGCCAAGGATCTTGGAATGATTGCCTCCTAAATGAATGTTTTGATGTGATAAATTTGAGCTTGTGCGAAAATCTGCATTTTGGCAAATTCAAGGTTGAGTCTTTTGAACTGATTTTCATGTTCTGGATATTTCCATGCTTAGTCTGTATTTTTCCCAGCGAGCTCTATGACGTCCTACATTACAATTTTACTGGCCTTGCCTCTTTGAGAATGTTTATAATGTTTGAACCTGAGTTATCCTTGCAGTTGCATGACATAAAAAATACCGGTGGTATGGCCTGTGCCTGTTGTATTACAAAACCCAACTGAGTGCTCCAAAATCGGTCTATGCTTCATGCACTGAACACATTTTCAATAAGGTACGACGACTGAAATCTCATTATCTGAGGATCATCGTGGGTCAAATCAGGCCTAAAAGGCAGGTACAACATCTAGTTAGATGTAGCGTCCATAATTACAGATTCTGGCGCTAATAGAAACTGGCCAGCCAGTAAGTTTTTGGTCTGCAGAGTTATCTAACACTTTTAGCGGTCTTTGCAGTGGTCCTAGAAAATAAATTACTTCCATGTTCCCCCAAGTATACTGGCAGAGACTGTGCACTATGTCTAAGAAGATTTCTTTTAATTGCTTGCAGGTATACTGCCGCATTTAATTTTCATTTACGCCTACTAACCTTGAGCCAACTAGAACAGCCGGTGAGGACCTCATCTCCCTGACACGTGACTTGAGTAGTTTTACTGACGCCGACAGCAGAGGTCGGTGACCTGCGCGTGGTGCACGTGAGGTGTGAGTTCTGTGACGTGGAGCTGGCCTGACCCAGAGTACGCAGGTTAGCCCGTGTGGTCTGTGGGTTGATCTGGACTTTCATGGTGAACGGGTCTATCTTCTTGGGTAAATGAATCGCATCTAAGATGGAAGTGCATTTAAAAGATTGATTCAGAAATTCTCCTTCTGTTTTTGAACTTTAAAATATCTTTAAAGGCTCAACATGATGACCCATGCAAGTTCAAAAGGGACATATGATGACGAAACAAAGAACAGAACATCTATCATCTTATTTATTTTTTATTACTAAAGCCTGCATTTTCTGGTTTGCTACAGCGAAATTAGTCTCTTGCCACATCGACGTGTGAACAGTGCCTAATAATTAATTAATTGAAAACAAACTTTTCTCGAAAGATGTTTTTATTTCAAACTTCACTTCAGAAATAGCGTTTAAGTGTGTGTGAAGTAAACGTTTCACCTGAGACTTCTCTCTTCCGTTCCCCCAAGACCATCTTTTATAATGGACAAAAACGATTGCATAACCATGTCAAATCAAGTGTAAAGAGAAGGATGTGTAGAATTATAAATTATAACTAAGGATTAATCATATGATGTTTCTTCAGTTCCTAAAGTCCAAAATAAATATAACACTTCACAAACACACTGTTAAAAGCTTCTATCTTCAACAAATTACTATTGTTTTGGGGATCGTTTCGGCTCTGGACCTGTGTACGGTCAGCATGAACAGAAGAAAGACTATGTTATACATGTACAACTTCAAGCAGAAAATGGCATTGTACTTTACAAACGTTTATTTTAGATCTAGATCAAATTAAGTCTCGCTTATTATATAACAATAATTTTATGGAAGGTTATAAGAATTTCGTTGGAATCAGATTAAAAGTATGCACATGCTACCTTGAAATGCCCTGCTATTTCGAAATCTACAGGTGAAAGTAGAAGTATGTACATCCTATGAAACAAAGCCACCCAGCTCATCAACTTTTACAGTTGACCAAAAACCAAATTATGTGCAGAGATATACAAAAGATAGCGTAAAGAACTTACGGCCGTTGCCAGTAACAGAAATAGAAACTGTTTTGTCCGCTTTGCCCAGACTGAAGGTGGTCCTCTTTATCGGCTTGCCCTTGTACCAGACCACAGCCTCGTAGTCTCCTTGGAAAGCGCGCAGGTTAAAGGAAGTTCCAGAGGCCAGGGACCGGTTCACGTGGGTGCTCCATGTCTCCTTGGTCAGCTTCAGGAACCGTTTGCCGGACTCGTTGAGCTGTTGACAAAGACGGCCGGGGCTTCAGGGCTCATTTGTGAGACAGGTACGCTGAAGCTAATACGCACATTAGCGGTTGTTTGATGATGAAGATGATATGATAGAGAACACAGACTCAGGATTGTTGAATTACTCAAAGCAAATCGTATATTCAAACTGACAGACAGTATAAACCTTTATGATATTGTAGATTACATAATACGAAACAAGAATCGGGAGTGTGACTGTGAAATTCAAGTATAATTAATGTAGACATAATTATCACACAAATGGATAAATAGATAGGTAGATAGACAGACAGACAGACAAACAGACAGACATAAAGACAGATAGATAGATAGATAGATAGATAGATAGATAGATAGATAGATAGATAGATAGATAGTCCATACCGTAAAATGGGACCCCTGCACAAGAGACCTAAAATTCTCAGTGTTCCAGAAGCCCCAGAAGATGACACCGTGCACGTCAGGGTGGGAGAAGTACAAGCGGAGCACTCGCTCTAGCCTGGAGAAAACCAGCAACAGATAAAAAGAGGTAGATTTCACACAGGTCTATATATTTTGTATTTATATATATAATAATATATATATTTATATATAATATATATATATGTTTTTTGTGTGTGGGTGTGGGTGTGCGTGTGCGTATGTCTATGTGTGAGTGTGTGTGTGTGTGTGTGTGTGTATAAATTACGTGTTTATATACATATGTGTATATACATATAATAATATATACTCAGCATAAACGTATCAAAGGAACAACAATAAAGAACAGTTTAATGACTAGAGGGCAATTTGCCTTACATACCTTGAAATCGAAGCACGTAAATCAGAGTAATGAATAAGAAAGGAAAGAGGGTGCAATATATGATAACAAGGCATGTAATAATAAGGGGGTGGGGTGTTGTTTGGAGAAAGAAAGAAAAGTTAAAGATTGGGGAGAGAAAGAGAGAGAAAGGGAGAGAGAGAGAGGGGGGGAGAGGGAGAGGGAGAGGGAGAGAGAGAGAGAGAGAGAGAGATCGGACAGAGTGAGGGAGTGAGGTGAGGTGTCTGTGTGTGTGAGAGAGAGAAGGGGAGTGAAAGAGAGTGACAGACAGAGAGAGAGAGAGAGAGAGAGAGAGTGAGAGAGGGAGAGGGAGAGAGAAAGAGAGAGATACATTTATTAAAGAATAAAAGAGACAGGCAAATAAGAGATCGAGAGAGGCAGGTGTCATGCCATTAGGAGAGTACAATGTTTTATCTTTCTCCTTAGCCTACGTACCAGTCAGCTTTGGTGTGCGGATCGCGAACACCAAGACTCAATTCGGTTACAAAAATAGGCAGACCTCCTTTCGCTACAACATTAAGACGGTACTGAGGAGAAGAAAGTAATGAAAAGCAGTCAGAACCGGAGTTCCAGTTTTGTTTTTATGTCTGGGCATGTAGACGTTAGTAAGGTAAAATCCTGCTGAAGACACATAAGCGAACGACAATGAACACACCGTGATAATATCTAACATTTGTGCAATAGAACAATGGCTGGATCTAATAAAACAAATAAAAGGGGCGTCCACATTGACAAATACACAACGGATGAGAATAAAACAACAAAAGGAAGAACCAGAATTCTGTTCTCTGAACCGAAGTTGCTATTTAGGTTTTTGGCATTTGATACTTTGTCTTTTGCATGAACGCACTCACAAGGGTCTGCCTTCATGTCGTTCTTGAAAATTAGATTTGTTTAAACAATGTTTTGCTTTTAATTTTGGCTATCTGCTGCCGTAGCTCAGTGTGCATTTAGCACGCTCATGCGCTGCTAAAGCAGTGTGTGTGTGTGTGCTTGTGCGTGTGGGTGTGTATGTGCGTGTATGTGCAATTAATGTGAGTGCGCTTGTGCATACTCATATTCGCAAGTGTGAATGTATGTGAGTGTGAGTGTGTGTGTGTGTGTGTGTGTGTGTGTGTGTGTGTGTGTGTGTGCGTGTGTGTGTGTGTGTGTGTGTGTGTGTGTGTGTGTGTGTGTGTGTGTGTGTATGTGTGTGTGTGTGTGTGTGTGTGTGTGTGTGTTTGTATGTATGTTTGCATTTATGTATGTTTTTGAATTTGAAAGTAAAAAATGAGAATCTATATGTGAGCCCTCTTCTAAGCGTGAGTATGTGTGTCTGTACTGTATCTCTACAGGCGATGACGATAGGGTTGAGTTCTAAGGCTAAATAACGGTAGCGGAATTTCGATACGGGTCTCAGTCGCGAGGAAGACTCCGTGGATGAGTACCGCCTTGGTGTTACATTTACAATGGGTCTAGTTGTTTTGAATAATACATCAGATTCCTGCTTATGTACTGGTAGTCTTACTTACGTTGATGCTATCGGGGCTGGGCTCCTCGTAATCATTGAGATGACTTTGTACTCCGACCCCGCCAAGGCCGACATTGGCCGCCTTGAATTTCTGGATCTGGGTCAAATAGCTCTGAGGACGGAACAACATTAACCGTATATCCGTCAAACACGTTTTTTGTCTCAAATTATGTTATTCCTAACCGTAATTACAATTGGAGATCCTATGATATGTTTTAAAAATAATAAGTACTCTACGCAATATTTGAGTAATTCTTGCAGACAATCCGAAAAAAAAGTTGGATTGTTGTTTTTTTCATTCCTCTTAAAATCATGTTCATGCATGCATGGTTAGTGTTGGACATCGATGAAATGAAAGTAGGAAGGGCGAAAAAATATATCTTGTACTTATCTCTGTAAATGAAAGTGAGTTACATGTCAACATAAAACATGCATACAATAATTGAGAAGTTAAAACATGCCACATATTTCAGTATGTATTATATAAGTACTTTCACAGAACCGTTGTTGGTTTCCGCAGCACAGCATTCGGGTTTTTTTTTTACTTCTTTTTAAAGAACGATATAATGATAATAGATCTAGTAAATTTATCCTTCCTTCCCTTGTTATAAATCCCTCCCACGATAACTTCCAAGGTGATTTCTCGCGACATTGGGCAACCTGGTTGTTATTTGAATTACGCTAAGCCAAACAGTGTAGTGATTTTCCACGTTTTGGACCAGTTCGGGGGGTGTCAGGATGGCTATGCCCCATTGAAGTAAAAAAAAAAACCTGGGGGTTTCAAAGGAGCACACCCCCTGTTTTTCCACATAATTTGATTATTGCAGATAGGTTTTTTTATTTTCTTTAAAACAATTGATACACAACAGTTTTAGTTGTCATATGGGTGATTTGCAGCAACAAGTACAGTAATCTGACCCCACAGAAGCAGTCTGTACATCTGTGTGCCAGAATTTACAGGCTCTCAATGTCCCTAGATAGGCCTACTTGTACACGTAAAACACAAAGGAACAGTGGGTCTAGGCTAGACCTACAAGCACAGAAGACGAGTTTTCGTCGAGGGACCCTCTGTTTACTATTACTATTATTTTAAGGGTTCTCCGAAGCCAACTGAGTAAGTCACAGAAGGAAACATAACTACATGTATTGGGTTCTCTGACTTTCCATAGGTACAACGTGAATGCGTTTACAGACAGGCCAGTGAAGCAGTTTTATACGTAGGGAAACGCTAGATCGAAACGAGATAAGAATAGCAGTTTTCCTACATTGAATTTCTCGAAGAAAAGGAATAAAAATGCACTTTGGAGAGGAAAGCTCATGAACAGAGGCGATATACTCCCTTGCTTGGTTAAGTTTCAGTCTCTTTAACACCTGAGAAGTTCGCAATCTCAGGCTCCAGGAGGCTTTCCAGTTTGTCAAAGGCCGGCGTCTCTACCTCGACGCAGCACTTTGCTACCCTAGAATTACAAGACTCTACCAGCTCAGTACCTAGTTTTGAGACATTTGACGTAGAAGTATTTTGAGTTTCACAACATGGCAAGCTTTTTTTCTTTCTTTTTTTTTTTTTTTTGCATGCAATTCTCTAAATAGCTTGATATCGGTTCAGAATGATGTTACGATTTTGATCGAGCATTTGGTGTCTGAACTGATGGTCTTAGTAAATCAAAACGGCCAAAAATCCCAAATAGAACTTTTCAAGGGTAACGTCTTCACGTTATACAATTTAAGATAAAGTAAAGTAAGTAGGTAAACTTCTCTTTGATACCAGTGATCATTTTGAAGGCGTTTATATACCTGTGTCATTTCACCGCTCTTCACCACATTGTACTCATTGAGGAAGAGTGTGGGTTTTGGATCAGCTCTGTGAATCTCCCGGAACATGTGCTCTGTGTAGCGAGGGTTTCCCGATTTCTCCTCGTAAAAATAGCCATGAAGTAGCTCATTGTTCACGTCCCAGTGAGCCAATCTGTGGATGTGATTGTTATGGCAAGTGAGAAATACTAGCAGAACAAGACAACATTTGTTCTTATAACAAAGACAGAATAAACGATTATCTTTTATGTTGCCATTCGGGAAAAAGCATCACTGGGAGGTTTTCCTAAACTCGTGTTAAAATGATAAAAGTTTTTGACATTTTCATCTGGAGAAAGGTGTCTGTAAACTGCTTCTCGACAACAGCGAGCTAAGGAAAGATTCCAACCCAAGAAAATCCTCACTTGTTCTTTGTTTGTGCCGTCATGTAAGCAATGCGATCATCCACGGTTGTCTTCAATGCCGGAGCGGACAATCCCTTGACCCACTCAGGATTGTTAAATGGGACAGCCCAGAACATGCTGTGACCTCGCACTTTGATCCTGGTGAAGGAACATATGGTAGAAATTGTTAGCACAGACATGTATAACAATAAGAAACGGTAAGTTAGAAATATGTCATATAGGAAAGGCATAAATAGGACAAGCGTTATCATCCTCTAAAGAAGTTTCCTCTCTCTCTCTGTACACAAATTTGAAACAGAGACACTTGTAATTAAAATGATGTAAAAACAAAAATTTTAAAGAAGCACTCAAAGATCTGCCTTTTTGTTTCAGTAATTTTAGATTTAATCTAAAGACTAAATGAAATCCTTTTCGTAACTCCTTTTATCTTAGATTTTGTCCTCTTACACACACATACATACACACAAACACCTTCCCCCGTACACATACTCCCACACACCCCCACACACATACTCAAACACATATTCAAACACATACCCTCTCTCTCTCTCTCTCTCTCTCTCTCTCTCTCTCTCTCTCTTTCTCTTTCTCTTTCTCTGATGCTACTCGTATTATACCCATTTTGGGGAAGAGAATGCAAAAGTTTTAGGAGCATAAGAGACAAAAGTTCTATCACCCACCATGTTAGACTTTACAGTGGGCACTATCGTGAGATTCTCATCCGAAGGTCTAAATTGTCCTGATGGTATGTGCATTGCATGTATGATTTCAACTTTTTTAAACTTTAAGATAATATTTATGACGCTTTGTTGTTTATACACTTGTGATACAAAAGATCAATTTTGTCATCAATTATATATTTAACTGGCAGCTAATGTAACTTTATCAATAAATTGTGGTGTGAACTTTTAAAGATCAATCTTGCAACTCTAGTTTGGAACCGCTGCTGTCTGTACTTGGAGGTATATATTTAATCTGCAGATTGCGTGTAAGAAAGAAACGAGAGCGCGAGTCGGGTTGGCAAAGTCTGAACTTTTCTCGTCCTACCCCCGAGCACAATACTTTCTCATCTCAAATGGGTTGAAGGATCGAAGAACGAGCCAGCAAAGTAATAAGAAGGATAGACGTAAGCACTAAAACCTGTACAATACGGTATATAAGCTTTTAAAGTAATTTACCCATGATGATTGAGGACATCGGTGGCTGCTACAGCTACCCTGTAGTCTGGGTTAGTCTGAAATAAAGGGAAATTAAACGGTGGAAATAAGAGGATACCAAATGTAAAAAACACTCGAGAAATTGAAGCTTTCGGGTCAGATGCCGATTTAAGTATAGATAAATGAGACCTTGCTATTTACATGTATTATTACAATAGACACAGTGTTCTTTTTTTCAAGCCCCATAGGTAGGGGCATATCTCAGTCAATTATCATTATTTCAAAGTGTAAACATAAACAAAGCCTGTGGTCCAGACGGAGTAAAAGGGAGAGTGTTAAGAACTTGTTGTGAGCAACTGGCCCCGATATTTACCTTCATTTTTAACCTGACCCTACACAAAAACTACATTCCTACAATATGGAAAACATCGGAGGTGATACCAATACCAAAAAAGCCTAAAATATATGAATTAAATTACTTAAGACCAGTCGCTCTTACATCCATTGCTTTCAAGTGCCTTGAAAAATTTATCCTCTCTAATATTCTAGGCCGTGTTCATGGAAATCTAGATCCATTCCAGTTTGCATACAAACAAGAGAGGAACATAGAAGATGCTGTACTTGTTTTTTGTGACTCTATACTGAAACACCTTGAAACATCTCAAACGTATACGAGGGTACTTTTTGTAGATTTTTCCTCAGCATTTAATACAATTCAACCGCATATTGTCATTGAAAAACTTCTGAGTCTGAGAGTTAGTCATCATATCGCAGCATGGGTCCTGGAATTTTTGACAGGTAGACCACAATATGTGAAGCTAAACAACACAAAATCTGACACAATTCTTCGTAACACCAGCGGTCCTCGGGGGTGTGTTTTGTCACCAGTTGTGTATACTATATATACCAACGATCATAGAAGTATATATAAAACAACACGCTTAATTAAGTTTGCAGATGACTCCGCTATTATTGGATTAATAAACCATGATGAAAAAGAGTATTTCGAAGAAATATGTAGGTTTTTTTAAAATGGTGCAACTCAAATTTTCTAAAAGTGAACCTCTCAAAAACAAAGGAAATGATTTTTGATTTTAGAAGAGAAAAACCAACAATCCCACCACTCGTAATTGAACAAGAAACTATTGAAATCACGGATTCATACAAATATCTTGGCCTTACAATAGACAACAAATTTACATGGCAAAACCACGTAAACAATATCGTTAAAAAAGTAAATCAGAGGCTGTACTTTCTGAGGAAACTAAAGTCTTTCAACCTGAATCCATCCATCCTTCAGATTTTCTACACCACCACAATAGAAACTTTGATAGATTTTGGAATCACTTGCTATGGTAGCAATCTGGGAAGGCAGCACATGATAAAACTAAATAAGTTGATAAAAAAAAGCGTCAAGAACAATTGGTAGAGACCTAAGTAACTTTGAATATCTGCACAAGACAAACGTTTTAAAAAAAGGCGGAAATAATGCTTAGTGACCATAGCCACCCACTGACATCGGAATTTCAACTATCGACCCGCAGTAAACGATACATTTCCAAAAAAGCAAGAACAGACAGATATAGAAATTCATTCGTACCAACTGCAGTGAGATTACTGAACACACAGTGCTACAAATGAAACAGAGAGAGAGAGAGAGAGAGAGAGAGAGAGAGAGAGAGAGAGAGAGAGAGAATGAATGTGTTACGGAGCGGGTTGTCCCAGCCCGTGAGACATGTATTTACTTGGCATAATGTCCTGTCTTGTTGTGCGTTTGCGTGAGTGCACCTTTAAGTCTAACCTTTGTAACGTCTACTGCCATTGTTAACGACCAAGACAAATTTCTCCCTGCGAGATGAATAAAGATTGTCATTGTCATTGTCATTGTCATTATCATTTCGTGTCTGGGTTTTTTTCATTACCAGATATTTACTATCCAACAATGATAACTGACGTAGTTAGTTGTGGTGATGGCTTTATATTTCAACTTAAAAACAAATAAGCTAACAAGTAACTAACCGCACAAAGACTTATGTAGGCCTACTCACCCTGTTGCCCCTGTTATATCGCCACTTGTAGTCCTGTACCGTGGCCCAGTTGAACATGTGGTAGTAAACTTGCTGATATTGAGCATAGTCCGACTCCAAGAACAAATCTGGTTGGACCACGGAGCCCCAGGCAAACAAGTGCTTCAGATGGTTGATCTGATCAAGGGAAATAGTTTCAGGAGTTTTCTCTGCTGCTGTTGTTGATTTAATAATAAACAATAATAATAAAGGAAGAGGTCAAGTGAAAAACAGGATCAATCCATTTTCAGAAAAAGAAATAGGGTACTAATCATAGCTCTTAGCTTACAGCAAAACCTGTTGAAGGTCCTTACAAAATCAATCACGTGAAGTGAAAAAACAATTTAAGTTACTCACAAATTGTTTTTTATAATAGCAAAAACACTAACATACTGAACAGATCTTTCGCTGTCTATGGCCGGGTACCCTCCTTGGTGAAGTGAGGAAAATTCTTGTAAAGTGCCTTTCTCAAATAAATACGCAACGTCGGGCCTGCGCCCGAACCCGCAACCTCACGATTACGAGTCCGGTAGCCTAACCACAAGGCCACCGACACCTTTTCTTCCTCGCCCTCCTCTTTCTCCTTCCCTTCCTGCTCTTCCTCCTCCTCCTCCTCCTCCTCCTCATGTTTTTTACCCTCCTGCTCTTCTTCCCCCCCCCCTCTTCCTTCTCTTCCCTCTGCTCCATTACATTTTTAAACTAACAAACGCAAACGATAAACGGATGTCCGTGAATCTAAGAGCAGTATCAAAATGAGCTCACCTCCACTGTCACGTCCTCGGGACGAAAACCAGGGGAGAGATTCACACTGATGACAAAGAGAAGAAAACACGATTACACTTGAGGAGAGCAGCAGTCACAGCGTACAGCATGTTAGGCTTACGAGGCTTCACGAATTAGAAATGCTGAAAGACGAGAAAAAAGCCCTCAAGCTGTGCATTGCCACAAGTGGAAATAAAGCTTTTAGCTGCTCAAAATATGGTAAATGCGACACTTCTCTGTCAGAATTGGTCTCATTGGTCACAGATGCCACAAGTCACCTTAATCCCTATTCTCCTTTTTCGCCCAAGAAATATTCTCTTCAGCAGATGCAGTGGATATTGTCAGATATTGACAAAGTATTACTGTTACATAGTATTAGATTATTATTATGAGTATTATCAAGGGTTGTCATTAATATCATTGTCGCGTTACTATTCTGTGACTTAAAGAAATAGTGTGGGTGGTTGGCGGGTGCTCTGGTGTGGTTTGCTTCTTCTATCCAATCAAACATCTATCGTCCTTATCTCCCTTTCTTTTTTATATTCGTTACTCTCTTGTAACACCTCTAATCTTATGGCGCTCACATGACCTTATTATGCAGTTGCAAGCGCCGTAAAACCTCTACTAAAACTAAATGAAATAGTGGCCTTAGTCGTCGCCATCGCTGGAGTTGTGTAGACTTCTTTCGTCAGCATCATAACTGTCGAAGTAGTGCTCATTGTTATCGGCTTTGGAGCTGTCGTTTTCGGAATATTCATTCTACAGTACCATTGTCTTTTAGTACAACATCAGAAAATTAATACGCTTCGTTTAGGCTCGAACAGAGAGCCTCATGCGACCCCCCCCCCCCACAACCCCACCTAAAAAAGAACCACATATGCACACATACACACACACACACACACACACACACACACACACACACACAGATACATACATACGTACACACACTCACACACACACACACACACACACACACACACACACACACATCAACCTCTCCTTGTGTTCATTAATCAATCTCTCTCTCGTTTCCACACAAACCGAACAGTCCACACACAGCAGCTGAACATAATATCAAATGCATACCATGAACAGAAACAAAAGCTCCTCGTGAAAACGCAGATGGAGCAAGAAACACTAACGATATCTATATCGTCATTAACTAAATCAGGGATGTCGAAGGCATTTTTGTTCAATTATCAAATAAAAGAAACCAAAAAAAGTTTGTAATAGCTATAGAGGAGCATATTGAACTATATTCAAAACTGCCAAACTCACTTCACGTGCAATTTGCTTTTCCTCAGATTCTCTATTCTTTGATTTGCTTCCCGCTCCCAGTTCGGGTTAGAGGGCAGTTCAGTGAGAGAGGTGTCGTCGAAGAAGAAGTCAATTCCCGGTAGAAGAGTATCCAAGTACAAGGATGCTTGAGTCCATTCTGTACAGAGATTGTTATTGTACCTTAAGATATGTTCGTAAATCATGAACAAGCGGTAAGTACTCGTATAACGAAACCACCATCTGAAGGTAAAATAGAGGTAACAAATCCTTTTTATCTATTTTCAAAGACATTTTTATAAGGGTAAAAGGCAGGTAACTCAAAACAGAAACAATAGACTCAAAGTCCAATCAGAAAAATGGTTCTCAAAGGACGATACTGAGAGACACCCTCTTCCCCTCCCACCTATTTTTTTCTTTAAGAATAAAGAACCATCGGCTTTTGTGGGGAAACGGTATCCAGATCAAAGGTAACAGCATGGAACAGTCTCAATTACCTTTCTTCAGTTGCAACCCCCACCAGCCCCCCTGTTTTATGCATATTGGCTTCGCCTGTGTTTGTGTGCTTGTGTGTATGTGTGTGTGTGTTGTTGTTGTTTTGTTTTTTGTCGTTTCTTTAATGTGTATGTATGTCTTTGCACTTTTGTGGATAATTATGAGCGTGTATGTTTGTGTAGGCTATGTACGTGCGAGGTGGGAAAAAGGAGTTCGTACCAAGGTTTGGAGGTATGAAGTCACCACCCAGCATGGTCCACCCGTCAGCCTTGGTCAGGTAAGGTCGGGAGCAAACAGGGAAATAATACTTGGAACCTTGAAGATATCGATATTCAAAGCATTGTTATGATGTCTGCCTAATAGTAGTAATATGAATGCGTTTAGATTAAGTTAAAATACACGACTCTCAATAGAATTTAAAGTTAGATCTGGACTCAAAAAGAGCTATTTCAAAAATCACTAGGAACAAGTTCATGCATGTCTTTGTAAGTCCAAACAACCATTGTTTACTACCACTATGCTCTTAGTGAGAAAGGGTTAGGCCAAATGGATTGTTTGTCGTTACTTTATGTTAAATTGATCGTAAATGCACACTGACAAATAAACAACGATATAATTGTTTTTTCTTAGAGCAAAGAATAATAGTCATATACATGTAGACTTATCTATCGGGATGTATTTCAATTTTCAAAAAATTATCAAGCATTTTCGGTGTAAGGTTTGAATATTTGAAAAACACATTCAATAAGAATACAAGAATACCATAAGCCAAAACATACCGTCTTTTAACGTAAAGCTGATTTTCACTACGGCTTTCTGGAACATTTTCCCTGGAAGGTCATTGGTGAGCCTTATGTAAGACGTGAACACGTAATGTTTGCCTCGGGAAATCTGAATGCTCTGTTTAGGACCCATCCAAGATTGAGTTCTGAAAAAGAATGTACAGGCCAGAAGGGAGAAAGTGATGAGAAAGTGGTGAGTTTAAGGATGCATTACACAATTAGAGAGTTTACATTGTTTATGGAAATTAAATGAATGGTAGTTTAGATAATTCATCCAAGATGCCAATCAGGTTAGCGTAATCTAGTAATTCAACATTATTCCAGTGTCTTTCTTTTACACTCCATATCTGAAACCAAGTCATAAAAAATAACAGCGCCATTAGTAGATAACTGACCTGCCGGTACACTTGACGGCGACACGCCCTTGATGAACCTGCTCCGTTGTGGTGACCATGCTAAACCCGTCATGGGCCCAGGACGTAACTCCATTCTCGAACCCGGGGTTCTTTAGCAGTTCCACAGCCGCTCTTGTTACTACACCATTAGAAAGAACCAAAACAAAAATGGCGGTGAAGACTGGTAAGCTAAAGGTTCTGATTTTCCTGAAAGTAAGTCCCTCTTCCATTTTTCCCATTTTGTGGGATTTAACTACGTAGAAAAGACTACCCAAATTAACCAATGCACGTTGTGCTGCCTTGGTGCCGAAAAGACGAATGTGTTTGGTCTGTGAAGTTCATTGCATGTGCCTTTTCTTATATTTATCTGATAGCAGCAACAAAAAAGGACCTTTGAGATTTCTACATAGAGAAAAAAAGGGAACAAATGCACTCACATAGGGCGTGGTGCAAGAGAAAGAGCCGAAAGTTTGAAAGTGTAACACGTTTTGATCTACAGACATGACATGTGTAAACTGCTGAAGATTACAAGACGAACATGTTCCACAACAAGCCGGTATGTGCATACCAAAATCTAATGAATGCCCTCAATGTCAAAAGGCTGGGGTCAGTCCCTTCACAAAATACAGCACATTCACCGTTGTCTGTTTACTTTCAAGTGCCCACGTTTGTGCTCCATTTCCTAGTTATCTCTTGGCTAAATACACTAACAATTTGCACATGGGTTTGAAATGCTTTTAGCCTTGAGGAATAATATTCGCCCTTCGAAAGTCGAACCTGTTACTGATTTCGTCTTTTTGTTTTTTGTTTTTTTTTTAAACGACCTTGCTTGAATGTACACAATTTAGAATGGTTTACACTACCGAGGTCACTGCATTTCAACATCAACGACAATTTCACACTAGCAGTTGCATTCACAATATGTGAGGCAGTGTGGTGGAATCACGTTCTCGTCAAAATAATCAAAGTGAAGAAACTTGCATTTTTCCGCAGGTTTGTGAATTTTTATCAAATTTTTGTTTTTTGGCTCAACACATTTCATGCCCATTAAAAAACTCATTTCTGTGTGGATTTTTCTGAAAAACGTTGATTAAAAGGCACACAAAAATGTAAATGTTCAGTTACCACAGACTCTTAAGCTAAGGAAATAACTAATCTTTGGCGGCCATTTTCTCTTTGAAAACAGGTAACCACACGTCCTTCATTCGCAAATATCTCGACTTACATTCAAGATAAATTGAATTTTTTTTTCATCGAAATAAAGGCAAGTGAACACGCTTTAGGATGATATCAATAACTCTACATGCCCAAAAATTGACGAGAGCATGATCCCACCACACTGCCTCACATGTTTTTCCACAGCGCTGCACGCACTGTCAGTACTTGTATTCTCGAACCAACAAAAAAATTTGCGTTTTAAATGTGTCGCTGGCTCTATGCCTACTTTACTGCAAAATCAAATATTCAGGTCAGGAATTTTTGGATATTCCAAAAATATCAAAGGAATTCGCCGCTGTATAAAAAGCTTTTAAAACACAGATTAGACGACATGCAAATCTTACGATTAGTCAAAATATAAGGCTATAATAATATACAAAAATGCAAGGCAATGACAGTTATAAATCATATTTTCCCCTTTTCTGCAAGTTCTACGCGCTTTATAATCTATATTATTACCCCAGCAGACAAGATGGTATTCTGAAACAATCCCAACTTCTCTGGAAACATACAGTGCAAGCTATCATTTTACAGGCGCTAAAACAGCAATATCCTCACAAGATCTTTTGCAGTCTATGGTCATATAACTGTCATCACCTAGGTGCAAAGAGGAAAGAGGAAAATTTCTTGTAAAGTGTCTTTACCAAGGATACAACGCTGGACCGAGCTGAGCCTCAAAGCCCCTAAACCGCAGCCTCATGAGTCCCATAGTCTAAAAACTAGACCTCCGTCAATCAGACAGCTTTTGAGAACACTGCAAGAAACTGTGGAGTCGATAATGTGTGCTGAATATAGATACCACACCAGTACAACAGTTATGCTCTTTGAAAATAACGTCCTATGTGCTGATGGCGGGTCCAAAGCTGCCACATGCGTTACAAAAAGGCCAATGAAGACGAGGCAAACTCTGCTCCTTGACAGGTACAAAATGTGTTACAGTGATAATTGAGCACACCCCCCCCCCCAAACCACACCGTAAATCCTCCTCATTACCAGGAGCTCCTACTGTTGCAATAAATGCAGTGATACTCAAGCAGCTGTTGGTTTCGAAATGGTCAGAAACAGAAAAAGCCTTTAGACTACCGTGTAACGGTTAGGCATTTCACTGTCGTATGCAGGAGACCCGAGTTTGATTCGCAAGTGGGCGAGAACATGTTTATCTTTCTGCTGGAATGTTGTATTTCTCTCAGCCTGCATTGGCCTTTACATGCAGGGCCGATAGCCCGCCTCCTAATTGGTCTTTAAAAAAACATCAAGAAGGGTTTTTCTGTGCCTTTACCACAGGTTTATTTTCTCTGTATTTCCTCCAACTTTTTTAAAATTCTGTGTGTCGTATTTGTCTCCGGTGTTTTGAGCACTGAGTTCTATTACGTTTGGGATATTCAAGAGACTTAAAGACATCAAATAAATCTTTTCCCACACCCGCCTGCCAAAGGACCCATCTATACACGTATATTTCAACTTAATTTTTGTGTGGTGAAAATCTACATTCAAAAAGAGAGTGAGCTTAATCAAAGCAAAGAAAGTTCAGTTTCTTACAAAAGCACCTGTTCAGCTTTACAAATGTGTCTAAAGCCAGGGGTCGAAGTGTTCTATAGATGTTCACCCTGAGTTGCTGGAAAAGGACACTGAAAAGGGTGGATTCTGTTTACTCGTTAAAGTAGATCTAGTTCAAATCTATCTATCCCAACCCCCCCCCCCCTCTCCCTCTCTCTCTCTCTCTATCTCTCTCTCTCTCTCTCTCTCTTTCTCTCTTTCTCTCTCCCTCTCTCTCTCCTTCTCTCACTCACTCTCTCACTCACTCTCTATCTCTCTTACTCACTCTCTGTCTCTCTCTCTCACCCACTCTCTGTCTCTCTCTCTCTCGTTCTCTCTCTCTTTCTATATGTGTGCTTGTGTGTTCTTGTGACTGTGCGTGTGCGTGTGCGTGTGAACAAATGTGTACATATGTTTGTGTTGTATAAGTGTTCATGCAAGTGTATTGTTTTGCGAGTGGTCTCACATGTGCGTAAATGCGTGTGTGTGAGATGAGTGTCCATGTATGTGTTTTGTTGTGAATGTTCTAGCACACGCATGCGCGTGTTTGTGTGTGTGTGAGTGTGTGTGTGTGTGTGTATATACGTGTGTGTGTGTGTGTGTGTGTGTGTGTGTGTGTGTGTGTGTGTGTGTGTGAACACAGCGATTTTAATAACAACCAAAGGCGGTACTGACCACTTTTTGGAGGTGTTTGACTGCTGTTTTTGAGTCCATCACAAAAGTAGAAACAAATCGAAAGGAGCAGTGATCTTCACTTGACGGCTCCAAGCCCAATTTTGTAGTAATATTATCTAGGTTGAAGTGCAGCAAAGGGAGGCATTTATGTGTTACCTATGGCAACATTTTATTATTGAGCTACAACTACACCACACAGCGACCGACCTAACTGTGCCCTGGAGTTATGTAGCGTCGTGTTTGCTACCACTGCTTCTCGTATCCTTTTTATTCAGATTCTCTCGGTGGCAAAAGACTAAGTACGTCAGAAGCTACAAGTACAAGGTCGAAAAATAATAGAAACATTGTCCTTGAGAAAGATAACATTTATGCACTCTTGATATTTTTTGTTGGGGTTTGTTTTGCTTGTTTGTTTGGTTGGTTTTGGTTTGGCTTTGTTTGGGGGGTTTTTATAACTAAAAAATGGTGCGGGACGAGGCACATCAAGGTCTGACAGTCAAACGGGTCCACTTTGCACCTGAGGGCGCCTCTGTCTCGCCTTGAAAAAATTATAAACGAAAACAAAAGGCAAAACAGAGACCCGACAAAAATACCTGCAATTCCTTCAGAGAGATCAAGATCTCGAATAGAAAAAAAACAAGGTCAAACTCGTTCGTACCTTGAATAGAGTTTAAAGAAGAAAACAGGGCCGAAGCCTCTATATATTCAAATAAATATTGCTTCCCTTTCTTAATTTTGGAACATCGCAGCAGTCAAATTAGATCATAGACCGTGATAGAAAACAGCTTTATAGATTAAAATGGTAATAGAAGTTCAAGAAATCGCCAATGAGCAGTGTGCACAACACTCAAAACTGTTTCATTTCCAAACAAAATCCTGCACACCCCTTTCGGGTTACTCTTATAAGCAGTCACAAGCACTGATTATGTAAGCTAATAATTAAATTGGTATTGGTAGAGTCTACCTCAAAAAAAAGTAAAGAGACGTCAACTGCTAATATTCTCACGACTGCTGTAAGTGCTTGTGTTTTTTCCTCAACTTTTTTACCGGTCTATAATCAGGACATGGCATGTTATATCGACGCCTGGCCACAAAAGGTTAGATAAAGACAGCCAAATTTGAAACAAAATTGATAATACTTTACTTACTTACTCTCTCCCTATACCGTCAGGTACATAAGGCGGAGAGCAGTCGACGCCACGCTTGTCTGTCCCTTGCCACTTTCTCCTATTTCGGCACATCAAGGCCCTGGGTGATTGTGTCATCTCTTATTGCGCCTCTATAGCTTCCAGTTGGTCTTCCACGCTTTCTCTTTCCAGTCGGTTTCCAATGTCATGTCTGATAGGGCAATCTCAAAATTGATAATACATTTCTTGAATAGCCATTTATGCTTCTTTGACTTCTGTTTGTGTATTCGTATCTTTAATTGCATTTACAGTTGGTTTTTTTAACTTGAGATCATTATTCCCACAGCATGTTTAAAAGTTATAATTACGTTATACCCAAAGTGGGAAAAAAAATTAATTAATGAGATATTTTCGCGAAAATTTTGGCGGGTCGACATAGGGCTGTCCCACGGAAAACAGGAAAAGGTCCGTAAAAGCAAAAATCTTTGTCCTATTATAATAAAACTGTAACACATCATACCTCAACATGTGCTTTATTTCTCAAAATAATCACCATCCCGCTGGACACATTTTCCCCATCGCTGGATCTGGGAGATGATTGTTTTACAAGTGTGCGTTTACAGAATGTCAAAATATTGAATAGTTTTCAAATTACAGCCAAATTCCGGTTTTCCGTGGGACAGCCCTCGCACAACATGAATTCATGATTTGTTAGCATTCGCAATTCATCGATGCCACCTCGAACAAGAAGCAGTGTATTCCCATTGTGGGAGAGCTTTTCGTGAGTGGCCTTATCTGCAGCGGGTTCTTTGTCTCACTTTGATTACCCTGTCAAACAACTCAACCTTCGCCCCTGGAAAAAACTTGTTGGTTTGGTTTTTTAACTATCTGCAAGTTACAATTTGGTTTTTTGAACAACCATTCATTACTTCAAGTTTGCTTTTATTTTCAGGCTTTGGGCGAGATCGTGCCGTTGTTGCTTCGCCACAAACGCTTTAAACTAAGAGAAGAGTATTGAAGCGGGTGGAGAGGGGTTGGGGGGGTTGTTATTGGTTTGGTTTGGTTTGTTTGTTTGTCGTTAGTTTGTTTTGTTTTTTATTTCATATCAGAATCGCGGTTGGGTGGAAATGTGGGTTGTCAGAGTGTGTTGACACAGGGAACAAAGAAAGAAAGGCAGAATGGATAAATAACCAATCATTTTGTCTGCCGTTAAGAAGATACGTAGAATGATCATTCATTGCAAAATTCAGCAATAGCAAAGAGCGCAAATTTGATGGAACCCTCTCATCTGTCTAACCGTTATAACAAGTGCACTTTCATTGTTTCACATTTTTCTCAGATTGCACTTAGATATGTTTTGTATAGTCTGTTGCTCTTATACATGACACCGTAACTGTTTTTTTATTAG